CAGAAATGTTATTGCATAGATACACATAGACTTCGGTACGTGGTGGAATTTTAACTCCAGGGAGAATGCAGGATAATCAAAATATGCCGCATTCAATAGACTTCCAATTTGTGTCTCCGAAAAGAAAAATAATTGCAGCTTCTCAGTTTCGACTGCGTTTGGATTAAAATGCAATCCTCAGATATTAGAGAGATGCACTATTAAGGAGAGTTTTATTTTAATCATTTATGCTCATTTATTAAGAGGTTGAACCCTCTTCGATCGAAGATAAAATGACGTCTATGGGCCACACTCGCCATGATGCTCACTTATCACCCTTATTCTATTCCTACAAAAATGATAGTTGTAGGATGGAGGTGTCTACGGGCTATGTCATTTATTTCCAATCATTTAAACCATTTGCCCTTTTATAAATCTTGCCGTTTTTATCTTTTGACTTGGAAAAGACTCAATACTTTAAGTTTGTCTTAAATTGACCGTTAAATGAATATAATATGAATTAAAATAATTAAACTCTCCAATTAATTTCAATTTGTTAATTAAAAAACGAAATAATCAATGTGTACTAAGATTGAAACATGAAATAAGATTGACTTGGAAGATTAGAAAATTCCTTACCAATTACTGCTATCGTTCATCAAATTAAATTAAACAAATGTTCACATGTTTGCTATAACATTTGAATGGCCTTAAGTTTCGTAAAGTCACTGTTGGGTAACTTTGTGATATTAAAATTTTAAATTTACTTTCTTTTAACAAAACAAAATTGACAAACGAACTATTTTTTATAGTTGACAAACGAACACATAGTCTAGTGGTTGCTGTGGTCCATAGACATCTACATCTATCCTCGATTACGAATCAAAATGCAGATGGATGACATGGATGGGTGACAACCCGTGAGGACTAAGATGGAATGTCTCGTTTCCAGTAAAAAGGTCTCCGGTTCTCTACACTCACCATACGAAACACAGCAGCGTTAAGCAGCTATTTTACGTTGGTATTCTGTGAGAGCGTGGTCCATCCCTGGTCGAGCCGACCCATTCGTGCTACAGCTATACTACTGATAGCTGCAACATGGCTCTACCACGTATAAAAAGTTACACAGCAGCGTTAAGCAGCTATTTTACGATGGTGTTCAGTGAGAGATTCGTCTTACCCAAGAAGAGCCGACCCATTAGTTGAAGAATTTAGGATATGATATTACAATATGAGTAAAAGGTATAATATAATAATATTATACCTTTTACTCATATTGTACGCTATCATATTGTATGTTTTTATTTTAAAAAAGTATATTACATACAATAAACGTTAAAACTTAAAATATTCGACGAATATTCACTAATTGGCGTGTAATGCGCAAGTCGCATTTTGAAATGAGTAGGTAGAGGTAACATAATCAGATATTGTTTGACTTTCTTTTGTGCTCTCGTAGCATTTGACATTTCGGGTTGAGATATGAAAATTATGTTAATAACATTTTGGTAGGCTGAAGTAAATTACAACAATTAATTTGATTCTGCGAAATATTCTTCTAAATCATAAACTTTATCATTATGGATGCTTTAAAATAAATAGTCATAAAATTGAGGGGAAATTAATTCTGTTTTAATATATATAAGGGTTGTGATGATGATGATAATGATATCATCATCAAATGATGATGATATCATCATCATTGCAGCCCTTCACAAGTGCACTGCTGAAAATAGGTCTACTCCAAGAAACGCAACAACACACGGTTCCGAGTCACAAGCAAACATCGACTTCCTGCATGTCTTACCAGGTCATCACTTCATCTAGTGGCTCCCACTGGCTCACACCTTACACTTTACCTACCGATACGAGGTTGCCGCTCAAGGACCTATCTTCCTCATCCGTTGTCGGTTCTTAAAGCTGTAAGGACGGCCCATTGCCACTTCAGCTTTTGGACTATGTCGGTTACTCTGGTTCCACTGCGGATATCCTCATTTTTAAAGCAGAGAAACCCCGCGTATAGCCCTCTCCGCAGCTCGCTGAGCGCACCTTGAGCTTCATCATACGGTCAGCAGTGAATGACCATGTCTCAAATCCATAATTCGTCACTGGCAACACGCACTGTTCCTACAATCTTGTTTTCCGGTTTCAAGGTATACTTGACGAACGGATATGTCGTAATCTCCCGAACGCTACAAAGCCGAGCTGAATCCGTCGATTGACCTCTCGGTCTAAGTTGAACTTACCTAGTTGGACTCTCGTCAACAACTTGCCGCTTGACGAGTGTAATGCTCCCAACAACTACTGACATAGGTGTGACACGAACGTTACACATGATCTTTGTCTTGTTCAGGTTAATTTTAAGAACTATCCGTTGGCAGGCACTATTAAGGTCATTTAGTATAGTGCTTAGGTCCTCCAGCGATTCTGCCATAAGTACTGTATTATCGGGCAAACGAAGGTGAGTGATTTAGTTGCCATTGATGTTAATACCTTTTCTTATCTTACCTTTCCTGTTCAGTAGCTTGAAAACGTCATCCAAAGCAGATGTGAAGAGTTTTGGAGAAAAGACTTTACCCGGTTTTACATCTTCTTTTTGTACTGTCTTTACTCGGTTTAAAGCTTTCGTCCTCTGGTTCTGTATATATATATATGTATATATATATATATATATATATATATATATATATTTACATATATATTTGGTAATAAAGCCTTTTAGAAAATCAGCTTATTCGGGAGGCTGGAAGTCGTCGAGTCTGCGTGCGAGTCGTCTCATAATAACTTTCGAAAATAGCACGTAGACGCGGTTCAGAAGGGAAATCGGTTTGTAATTCTTCAAGAAAGCGTTGTCGCGTGTCTTGAAGAATAAGACCACCGCACTTCTGATCCACGCCTCCGGTGTAGTGCCACCATGGAGGACGGAATTAAAGAGCTTCTGAAGGACTTCAAGTACCGTTTTTCCACGCGCTTTTAGAAGCTCCGCTGTAATTCCATCCTCGCCCGGGGACTTGCCGTTTTTAAGGAGCTGGAGAGCCATTCTAATCTCGCTCAGACTGACGTCCGGAATATCATCAAAATAGTGTCGGATAAGACTTGCTCTTGGATCGTTACTCACACTTGCATGTGGCACCAACGATTATGTGTATCCCAGAAACGACGCTGCCACACTCGGTCTTCAGCTTCGACAGTTGGCTCTTTCTGGCAAATAGATATCTGGTAAAAACTTTGCAGACCTGTTTCCGCTCGATTGCTTCTTCAATACCAGCTGTAAGTCACGCCTCATCCATTTGGAGATCTGTCTGTTCAATTGCCTGTACGCTGTCAAATCTGCTGAAGACTGCAGCTTCATTTCCCGTCTAACATCCATGAGATTAAGAGAGTAATCGTAGAGTTTTTGAGTTCTTCTTTGGCAGGTCTTGCAGAACTTGGCTCCGACCGCATGATCAGTTTCCACAGCTTGTCATTCATATCGTCCTCTGTATTGCAGATTTCTAGACACTGAAAACGATTTTGTAACCAGTTTTTCGGGCTTTGGATTGGAGCAAAAGGGAGACGGACATATACGTAATTTTTCCACTTAAAGTTTAGGTTCAGTGTGCCTTTCATCATTCGGTGACCGCTGTCGGTTTTCTTCCCGCAATCATTGAGACATCTCTGATCAGTTGCAGTCATAATGAATTCAATGTCATTTTTTGTCGAATCGTGGAAGATGTGGAAGAAGGTGGAAGAAAGAGTTCATCATGAAGTTGAGTTCCGTTGCCCTGTCCCGAATTTCCCTACTTTCAGCTCACTGTTCTCTCTTGTGCCTAGTATTGCAATAAACTCTCCCTTTAACATTGTATAGTGGGTTTTTTACAAAATTAAACAATTGTTTCGAATTTGGGTGTATGTCTGGATATGTGTAGTTTGTTCTACATCAACTCTACGATAAAGAAAAAAATCTTAGTAAGTAATCTAAAATAAATCTATCAATTATAGTATCTGGATCGAGAAAATTTCGTCAATCAAACATCCGAATAGGATGACATTTAAATAAATAATTAAATTAAAATAAAGACTTTTATAAGGGGCCAAATCAAATCTTGTTATATGTCAAAGAAATCATTAACTACATTCAATACCGACCCATAATATTTTGTATTGCAACAAGCCACGAAGTCGACTCAAAGCAGCAATTATCGCTAAAGTTTGTAATTAACGCATGCAGATATTACACTGCAGCGCTGCGCTGGCACGGTTTGTCCTAATTGTGTAACAATTACTTGTAATCGTTGCGGATATGTACTTCTAGCAGAAAGCGCTTTTAATATTTAAATCGTTAAGAAATAAAAGTTTGACCTTAGTTTATCGACGTAATAAGGTAGTATATTTAGGTTATGGCGATAAATTGAAAATCATACACGATTGGCGTATAAGAGTACCCTTAAGAAACGAGCAACGACGAGCCAAATGGGAGTCCGTAGTCTCTACCTATACCTCTGGGTCACGGGTGTGATTTTATGTTAATATTTAGATTAGATATGCGAGTAAAGTGATTAACATCCAGTATGTATTATTGTATAGTCACATACCCAGCTGTGAACTTCCTCAAGTTGATGGAAAATAACGAGACACTCCATCTCAGTCTTCAGGGGTGACAACGCATACTGCATATAAATGTAAATATGTTTGGGCCACAGTATCCACATACCATCAGTTGGACTATGTGCTGGTTTGTCACCCTTATTCTATAAAATCTTTTATTTTTATTTTTAACGTTATCAATAAAAAATTTCAAACAAAATTTAGAAAAGGTTACATGATCAACGTATGATATAAAATTATGTGTTAAAAATAATTGACTAAGTTAATTTTTTAAACACGTACTAAGGTACGTAGTAAGTAGATATTATACCTAGTCAGGTCATAAATTCTGTCACATGTTTAATATAAAATAATTGAAACAAGTTTATTCATTATGTAACCATTTATATACCAAAATGAACTTAACAAAACATAGATTCTTTTGACACTAAAGTTTATTCAAAATGACCTCCGTGATTTTGAATACAGGCCTTCAATCTGCGCGGCAAGTCGTCTATCGCAGCACGAACGAGGTCCATGTCAATATCGGCGGCTGCCTTAATCAAGGATGTCTTGAGTAACTCCAAATTGGGATGAGGCTTTGAGCATGCCTTTTCCTCCAAGTGTTGCCATATCTTGTAATCTAACGGATTCAAATCTGGACTGGAGGAGGGCCAGTCTTCAGATATTTTTTTCCCGCGTACCGCTTCAACAAAGCGCGGCATCTCTTCAGTCTCAGGTCCATTAGACGAGCATTCAAACGATGTCCTGTTTTTCTTCGATATGCCCGAAGCCCTAAGTCTTCATTTAACACCCTTTTTACCGTGGTTCTGCTTAACCCCACCTGAAGGGCCAACAGTTTCTGCTTACGTTTGGGATTTCTTTGAATTCGCGCCTTGACAGCTTTTATCACTGCTGGAGTCCTAACAGACCGAGGGCGACCACTTCTTGACCTGTCATCTACACTAGAGTCTTCATTGTATCGTTTGATGGTACGATAAACTAATCTTTTGGTTATATTCAAATTTTTCAGTATGTCAAAAATTTGAATTGGCGCGTAACCGCAACGATGCAACGCAATAACTGCAACACGGTCTTCTTTAAGCGTCCACTCCATATTTAAAAATGAGTAAAATTCTAAAAAGTGTACAGTTTTATTTTCATGAACAATTCGAAATTCGAATTCAATAAACTTTTTTGTGGCCAGCATTCTAAAAGAAAAGTTTTTACTGTGTGACAATACTTATGACCTGACTAGGTAAAAATTACGCACATGTTATAGAAATGCTTTAAAAGTCATTTGTTGTTACAGTGGACCCCCGGTAATCCGGCCCCTGTCTAATCCGACACCTCCTGTAATTCGACATTTATCACAAATTATGAATATTTTCATGCTTCTTAAATTGATCGATCCATAATTTTTGATTATTTTAGTATGTACATTTGTTTGTACAGAATTAGTTCATTATTTTATTAAATTTATTGCATATTTTTTGTAAGTTCTATAGCATTAATGACGTTAATTTTATAATGAAATGTAAGCTCCCTATTGTGTTGTTTAATTTACTAAAGAGCAATGGCAGAAAAATAGTTGACAAAAATTATAGCGTCTAGAAATAAGTTAAATATAAAATGAGTTTTATTATTTTTCTATGATTTTTCAAATGAAAATGTATTTTAATTAAAGCCACAGAAAAAAACAAACATTTTTAGGAATATCAAATGACTTAAATCATTTTACTCTATTCAAATGTTGCCATTTAGTATATTCATACTATTATCGTATATACTTTGTAAGACTACCAACACAAAACACAAAATATTTTTATATTAAGTTATTATTAGTAATAACTGTACTATCAGTAATAATAAAAATAAAAGTGATATGGCTAAGAATAAGTCTCTTACAAAGAATTTCCTACAATAATACATTATCTCAATCATAGTACTATGTAACAATTCCATTTAATGTTATGCCAACACTAGCTAAAATAAAATGTCACTGTTTTTTTTACTGGTTTTACGGCTCTGGGTTCTAGCCTTTCTGAAAATGTCACTATGATACAAAAGCCCTGGAGCCATGCCAGAAATATACATTTATATTATGCAAATATATAATAGAGATACAATAATCTAAAAACTCTCAATTATGTATTTTGTATTAAGCTAACTTCAAACAACCACAAGAAGCATGACTTTTTCCAAGTGACATAGGACATAACCTAAAAAGGTTCAAATGTAAATATCTTTTTTTTGACGCCTTCTCAGTACGAAATTCTTTGACAGATTTATTAAGGGACTGACGCTTAACATTTTAAGATATTTTTGGTATATAGACGCTACCATTTCTTCTCAACTAATTTTATGTATGAAAGCCTGTCATTGTTCTTTGACATACATAATGAAGTATAATTTGTATTTCCGAGTACATATACATTACATATAGAATCTTATCATTGGATCTGGAATTTTTCGGATTACAAGGTACTCTTTTATAAAAAATTCCGGACTATAGGGTCTTAGGCAGTACTCTATAATCCGACAAAATCGATAGTCCGACACCGCCCCGCAAAATGTTTGTCGGATTACCGGGGGTTCACTGTATTTCGAAGGCTCAGTAGCATTTTCTACGCGTTTAACTGCGACATTATAGGTCATGCCTTGGAATCCCGCACATAAAAAATTGTTTGTATGGACTACAAATAATTTTTTGCCTGTATGTCCTTGAAAAATATGTATGTCAAACACAATATAAGAGATAAAAATATATGCACTATCTATAAGGAGTATTACAAACTACTGTTTTGTAAGCTTCAAGCGCTTATATATCACTTTCGATCGTTTACTTAAAAGGGTGTGGGAACGCTAACTGAGTCTGCATCACGCAGATTTAATTACAGAGTGTAACCTTTAGTTAAACGTTTGCTTGTAACATTTAAACAATCACGATTAGTAAAGGACAGAATAACGATTCGATATATAAATTAATATCGGCAGTGACATGTCCAATTAGTCTCTGTACTCAGTCTCATTACACTGAATTATAGGGCCGTAAATATGCACCAAAGTGCAGGTTTAAATAAACCCTGCTTAAATGTTAAATGTTATTATTGCAAATAATGTTTTATGTATTAACGGATTACTTACATCCTGGTTTATGTATGGTTATATATTTCATTTTTATTTATAAACAATCAATCCGCCTCGGCTGTCGCTTGGGTTGTGTGGCAAACATTAACGTGGAGTCAGTGGAGTCATATAGATTTAAGACAATTATTCTCTCACCTTTTTTATATAACATAAATTATAATAGAATAAATCAATCCTGGCATTGCTCTATCGATTTGTAAAACTTCATTACATTGGGTTTAGTCATTCCGAAGATAAGCCCGAACAGACAGACAGACATAAATAAAAAATGGCTATTCGTGTCTCAAAATAGAAATAACGCCTTCAGCTCAATAAAAGCCAGTCATTTTGATATTACAGACAGATACTTCATTTTTGTTTATATTACTGCCATAAAACTGTATGCATAAAATTTACAACACCGATTGTTAAACATTTTAATATTTGAGTAGTTTAAATGGGAAAGAACTGAGTCCTGTTGAATCCACTGTTTTTCTTCGACGCAAAGCTTCAGCAGGGCCCCCATATTTCTAAATTAGCAAACATACTAAGCTCTGCAGCTTATGCTGTAAAAAAAGTTAGAGGTGTCGAGACAGCTAGATTAGTTTATTTCAGTTGTGAATGAGAAAAATTTAAGCGAATATATATTTACGAAATAAAAAGTATATATATATATATGAAAAATTAATGAATGTTCACATAAATAAAAGTAGTTTTAGTAAAAAAAAGTGATATACACTCTGTAAACACCATGAACACACAAAAGCTACTGATATCAGTTTCTCGTCTCCACAGAGACGGTAATTCATTCATGGGGTGTTTACGCTATTACAACAAAGTCCCAGAAAATATACAAGGTCTCTCCATTACAAAGTTTAAATATTTTATTAAACAAAAACAATACCTATATAAAGGGTTATAATAATATAAATGGATACATGCTTGATATATAATGGATACACGATTGAATAATCCCTGGGAATGAGGTGGTCTCTTCCAAGCTGTTTATAAAATAAATTTTGTATTATAGTTTTTACAACCTTTATTGTATAATTTACTTCTAGCTGTTCCCAGGACAGAGGTTGTTTTTTCAAACCGGTGGTAAAAGTAAAAAATTATAAAAAAAATATATCTTGCATACATGTTAAATACCGCTGAATCACCGACTGACACTAGTCAAAACATTACAGTCCTGAGGACTATGGAGAAATAATGAATTAGACTGCAACTCATACTCAGAGCTGAACTAGGCGATGATAATCACGCTAGCCGTGAAGTCTTTAAACCCGTTATTTCATTAGGAAAAATACGTTTGTTTAAAAAATACCAAGACAGCGGCTAAATTATTTAATCAAACATTATACTCGTAGTATATGAAATGTTCAATTCGGTGTAATTTTGCAAATTTTTATCTACATACAAAACAAAACCTACGTAGTACGTGTCGAAAAAAGTAATCTCGTAACAACGCAACCGTTAATTCGACCTAATCCATTCGACTCATAATTATTATATTCGTTTGTTCCTCGCGGCTGAGTACGTTTTGTTTGCGACCCGAATGCGTAATGAGCGAGGCTTTCCAAGTATCGGGTTGGCACTTATCGGGCGTGCCATCTGACTATTATATTACCAAAATACCACTTTAAATGCAACCCGTTGTAATCCTATAATTAACTTAAATGTAGACTGGCAGACGGCGAGCTATATGAACAATAATGTGTGAGGAAAATGCATTTTCGACGGCGAAAATTCCAATGTCGGACGCTCGTGGAACTCCCAGCGAATTACAGGGTTTTGCTTTATTAAACGTAATTGTTGTTTGAGACAGATGTTTGAAGCCAACGTGCATTTGAAATTGGTTTTATTACAAGTTACACTATCAAAAGTAGTTTAAAAAGGCACATTTCTCACACTAGCATGAGAAGCAAAATGTAGGAAAATTTATTGTTTGTAATTCAAAATCATATCCCTCATCGTTTCCCTTCTTTTTTATATAAGACTTCTTTTATAGAATAAGGGTAACCAACGAGCACACAGTCTACCTGATGGTAAGGGGATACTATGGTCCATAGACATTTGCCTTGCCACCCCCGAGTACGAAGATAAAATGCCCCGTTTCGGTTCTCTACAATCACTATACAAACACAACAGCATTAAACTGATATTTAACGCTGGCATTCTGTGAGAGCAATGTCTTTCTCCAGTCGAGCCGACTCATTCGTGCTGCAACGATAATAAAAATGCAGCATGGCACTGTTCTTGGATGTATCTCAGTGTCATTTGAGCTATCTTAAGCGATTGTTTTACTCAAAAGTTGTTATGTAGTTTCGTATTGTTTAATTAAATTTTGAAGCATTGCCGGGGTCATCTGTAATCGGTTAATTCTAAAATTTCTTATCTTTTTTTTACAAAATACGACAATTTAAAAGTAATCTGAATTAGCTGGTAGTGATAGTAGTTTATAAGCTTATGTCACTAAAAAGGGATGATGTTTGCATAAGTTAAATATAAGCCAATATGCTACAAATGTATAGTGTATACAATTGTACAAATATAGATTAAACAGAAAAAAAAAACAGTTATATTATTAGTGTACTTATTAAATACTTATTACTATAGTGTGCATGGGTTTTAAACAGAGGTCCGTTGTGTTCTATAGCATTAACCGCGTGCCGAAAGACATAGAGTAGATTGGTGTAAATGACGACACACGTACAGATGTCGAACTGTGCTAAAAATTTTGAGTACAATTAAATATTCATAAAAGTAATCTAACCAAAATTAATTAACGTAAACTTCATTTTATAAAAGTGAAATTATTAAAGAAAAAACTTTAAAATATTATATATTTTTCTTTTCACAGTTTTTAAGCAAACTTGGCGAGATATAAATTTTTTGTTACCTTACCTCAATACTTAATACATTGAATACATACTGTAATTTTATTATATTATAGAAGATACTAAGTTTAACTTAAGTAAATTAACA